TTATGGGTATGCAACCTAGAAAATCTATCAATGAACGAAAAGTCCATTCGCGATTGGCCGATGTCAGACTTTGCGATTGGAGCGATTTTGCACCAATTGCAGGAGCGACGGATCGCTCAAGCGATGCGAGCGACGGGAGATTTACCCGAGCGGCGCCGTGTGTATCGGTATTCGGCGGGGTAAATCTCCCGTCGCTCGCATCGCTCAAGCGATCCGTCGCTCCTGCAATTGGTGCAAAATCGCTCCAATCGCAAAGTCTGACATCGGCCATTAGTTATGCATTTGATTTCAGCACTCACCTTCACGAGCAATCAGCACAGTTCAAGAAACATTAATCCTTGAAGAGTGACTTCCTGCACGTCCAAACATGGAGCGATAGAACGCACACACCTTTACCCGCCCTAGCGGCCCTACCATCTTAGAAAGAAAGTTTTAATACTTAACGAAAAAAGAAAAAGGAAAGACAACCACAACGCGCAGCAACACCAAGAGGAGATGGCATCGTGGCATGGGCGTAGCCTAGCTACATAGCCTATCAGATGCGGCATTAGAACGAACAGAGTACAGATTACATCGGAAGTATTACTCAAAATTAAATTTTAATCCAACTTCTTCAGCGCTTCTCTTGCAATATATGTGCGAAGAAGAATCCAAAATTAGATGCACGAATAATGACTTCATTCTTGGTCGAGCATCCTACAATATATAAGTGGTTAATATGTATGTGTGTGTCACGGCGGCTAGGTAGCACACAGTGCGAGAGGGGACGCGGGCTATGCTGTTGGGGGAGCAGTGCAGTGCGAGAGAGCAAGCGCCAGACGGTGCGGGAGAGAGCGTGCGACGAGAGTGAGTGGGAGGTGTAAGGGTGAGAGAGTGCGCGCTGTGGGAGAACCGCGTTTGCGAGCGTTAGGCTAAGGTGATGGGGGTGACTCATGCGGAAGGGGAGGGGGATGGTCGTGGTTGGCGCCCATTTCGAAAACGCCAACAGCAGAATGGAGCGCGCGGCAGCGTGCGTGGCCGCCTGGTGTTAGCGATAAAATTCAGAACACCGTTTCTCCGCACCTATCGCCCTTCCATATCGGAAAGAAAGTTTCAATACCTCAAAAGACGAATTACGCAAATCAAGAGATGACTCGTATATAAGCGCATAATACGAAAAAAATCCAGTGATGCAGTAGTTTCCATGAATAGCTTTTTGCAATGAGGCTTCCTTGACACCTCAACTTCAGATAACCATCACAAAAGTGCCACAAAAGCTCAAACACCGTTCTCCAGCTATAACAGCCATTTAGTACCTCAACCGGCAGCAAGCAACGCCTGACCTCAATGGCAATCGTGACCGAGGCGTGGTCGTGGCGCCACATAAGCAACACTAAGCTCCATCCAGCAGCACAATCTATTGAAAGCTGTGTCTGGAAAGCTGACAGCTTAACTTGGCACGTTATAATAGAACATTTCATATCCAAGCAGTTTAACCTCTTCAGCGTTTTTCTTGTAAAAAGCATGCGAAAAATAATCCAGTGATGCAAAAATAGGCTTTCCGTAATAAGGCTCCCTTGATGCTAGCATTTACCCTAAAATACCATTAGCAAAATGTCACAATAATCCTGGGAGTTTTTTTTTTCATATCCGAGCTGTAGCTACAATCAAACACCGTTTGCCTGCCTACGGCGCATCAATTCGGAATAGAAGTTCCAATACCTGCAAGAAACGGGTGTGCTAGCAACAGAATCGTCCGGAGACCCGCGCTTGTGGTCGCGGCCGCGACGTCGCGACTGTAGTGGACGAGTCGTGCGGCGTTCCTTTGAATTTCAAAAGGACGCTATACCGACTTCTCCCTTAGACATTTTGGTCAGTGCCATGCTACTTCGTTTTCTGTTCCATACTGTTTGTTTTTATGGTTATGTGCTGCGGTCCAAACAAAGCCATAGGTGGTCTTTACAGTATTGCCCACTATCCATTCAGGGAACGTCACTATAGGGAAACTCGCTATCTACAGTATTGATATTATTTAGAATCATAATCAGAAGATTCATGAATCATAATTCATTTCATAATTCATAATTCAGATTCATTCAATTTCATCATTTCATAATTTAGATTCATAATCAGAACCAACAGAATCGTCCCATGGTCCACGGCCAAAAGGGTTAATGTGGACCGCAGCAAATCTGTCGCTCCAATCGAATAGTCTGTTGTTGTCGCGCCCATCCAAAAAGTGCCGCATTACGGCGCCGCGCAAGTAACCGCGCGCGACGACGCCACTCCGGACGATTCTGTTGCACGGTCTCCCAAAAGAACAGACAACAAGTATGCCATCGTGGCACAGGCGTAATCTTGGGCAGCATAGACATGCAGCAATGCTTCGAGCAGGCACCACATTATGATATTTTTCATTTTTTGCTTTCAATTTCTTTCTTATGTGAATGCAATTTGTACCGGCGGGGACGTTTCTTTACTTATTATTTTATTTCGATTCCTTTCGTACATGGAGCACCAGATGTCGCTAAAACTTAAGGAAGTAAATCTGTTTGTGGAGAATTCGTACTTGCTGAGCAAAACCCATAAGCATTATAAAAGGTTTTCACTAAATCTTCCGAGCAAGTGTTCTCACTATTTTCTTCCTATGAGTATTCAGGTAACCAAAGACAGTTGTTTATGTTTAGTTTTATGCGGGCAATGTCCCCCGGCTGTTCTTTCATGGGTGACTTGACACTCTGTGCAAACTTTGTTCTTCTCAAGTCTATGAATATTGGTGAGGAACCTCCAGCACTATCCATATGCATCTTGTTGCTGCCATTACAAAAGGTTTCAATGGAAGTATCCTTTGGTGACTGTTATTTATTCTCTGAATTGAAATCGCAGAACAACTATTTTGACTCAAGTTTTTCAGGAAAGCGTTGTGGTTGTCGTTATTTCATGTGTTTATCAAATATGCCTGATTTCAGTTATTTCACATTTTGCGTGTGGATATCTAATTTTATGTGAGTTCTCTGTTTTTTCTCAATTGGTATGTTGCTGCAGCATCTTTGCTAGATTATTTATCGGATTATTTTGGCATTAGTGAATCATTATGTGAGGTCTCCCAAGGTAGATGTTGATTTTTTGACTCAAATTTTGTTGAATAAGTGTCAGCTTTATCAGGACTAGGGTGAATAACGGTCGAGGAGCACCTCGATCTATGTGAGAGGAGTGTCGAGAATGAATGTGCGGAAGAGGATCTTTTCAGTCGTGCAGAACGCGACTGAATAGGTCCTTCGACGAGCCATCGAAGAGTCCTCGACCGATATTCACCCTGATCAAGACTACTGTTTTATTTCTTCCTCATGAGTGCTTTCATAATGTCAAATTTTAGCGTTTAGTGATGATATGCTTATCTTGCTGTTTAGGGAAGTTCTCCCTTCTTCGTTAGTCACATCGCGCTTGCTCACGTCGTCTTGAAGGTGTTCATGGGATTTCGGGTTCTTTCTGCCACCACATGTTTTCTGATGTTCCAGTGTTACAGTTTTTTGTTAGCAAGATGTGAGATGTTCTTCGTGCGCACCTTACTTTCGGCATTATCCTACACGCAATCAGATTTGTGCGTGGAAGTGTCAAGAATTAATGTGAGTACGTGCGAGAGGGGACTGTAAGTAACCAAAGTAATGCGCACGAAAGCGCATGTCTCGCGAGTCGCCTATCCCCTCCATACGCTTTTTCTTGCTATACGCTGTGTACGCAATGGAAACTCTATTCCCGACGCAAATTTTGTTTTAAAACCTGTCTATGGGGTATTGACGGTAAAATGGTTGGGAAGGAGGGGGAAAGGGGGCAGACGTCCTTTTTTGCAAAGCAATGAATTTAAAAGCCGGGAGAATATAGGTTCTCGAGAGACGCGAATAGGGCGATCACTTGACATGTATGAAGGGTTGGAATAGTGCGAGTTTGCACTACCTGGCAGAAAGTACATGCTGCGCGCCACGGCGGTCTCCTCAGCTAACTTAGCGTTGGGAGTCGAATCTATTCGAGGATTGTTCGTTTTGCTAAATACGTGAATTTCGTGCACTTCAAACACTTAGGAGGTCATCCAAACGTTCTGTATATTTTTGAAGGATTTCTGAGGTTTATTTATTTATTGCTCATATCGAATTTCTGGCGGGCCATGATTCTTTTCATTTATCTTCTCTTGAGAATCTTCAATCACTTACGCGAGTTCTATTGCACGTTTCTCTGCTGTAGTTATGCTTTTCGGAAGCATTTCACAGTTGTACTGATTTTTTGATTTCTTTCGTACTCTGCCTACGTTAACCTCTACGCCACTTCTTTCTGATATTCCCATTTGACGACTTCTCAAAATACAGTTTTGTTTTTTTAGATAGCAAGGTGTGAAGATGTTCTCCCATGCCCACGACAAGTGGTGTCTATCGGGAGAGAGGGTGCCATACGAGTGTGCGAAAGTGTCTAGAGTACATAGTGTGCAAGGGAGAGCATGCCTTGCGAATCACGTTTCGCCTTGGTATGCTTTTTCATACGTATTTCGCTGTATTATGTATATTAAGCACTTCTGTTTTTTCGGTAATCCTATTATATTATTCCTGCG